CCAGCGTGCCTGGAGCAGCCTGAGAGACGCAAATCACTGCAGGGGGAGGGAGGCTGGGCGTGCGCGTCTGTGGGGGAAACGTTGATCACCATCGGGGTGGGACTGGGCGTGCTTGCCTGCCTGCCATCAAGTGAGAGAGACTCTGAGACTCTGTCCCTCTCGCTTGCTACTGTGACTCGCAGGGCGTGGAGAGGTAGGTCTTTTTATTGTGCACGAGGCAGAAATGTAGCAGCCTGCCTGCTAGTTAACTGATCTCATTCTCCAAGGCAGAAGGTAGCAGCCTGCCTGTACAGTAACATTGTGAATGTTCCTATTGTTAGTTAACTGTTCCCTTTCTCAGTCAATTCCCCCAGGAGCATAAAACCTGTAAAAGTTTTAAGAACCCTAGATTGCCAGAGTGATGTAAAGCCTTAAAAATGGCAGTAAGGAAATCAGCTAGGAAGATCTATGGGCTTTCTCACTTTTTTCCTGTGCCAAAGTGGCACAATAGAGTTAGATTACAGCTCAGGATTTATTTTACTTACCCCTTAAAAGACTGAGGGCAAATAAAACAGACCAAGCAGTTAATAAAATGTCAGGACAATCAGAAGCAAGCACTTCCCAAAGTACCCAGCCAGGTCCAGGACAGTGATTAGCAAAACCGTATGATTTTCATGTGTGAAAGTCTGAGCCATTTAAAATGACATTCTACTTCTTTTTGGCTGTTTGTGTTCTGTAATGTAATTTAAATGGAAATCCAGGATTCTAACTGGAATGCAGGGTATTAGTTACCAAGTGTTTGTAACTTAACTTTCAGGTGTTTAGAAAATGCTTAATAGTTAGTGACTTTTTTCTGTATTGTAGTTTAAATAAATTACCAAGACAATTGAAACTGATGTGATTATATTACATTATTTTGACAAATAAAATATGCAGAATTTTTAATTTTTTGGTGCAGAATCCCCCTAGGAGTAAAATATGTGATTTCCCCCAAGACGTTTCTGTGTCACTATCACAGATGTTTATAAATTAAATGTTTAAAAAAAAACTATAATAAATGGTCCCAACCAAGCTTTGAAATTCATTCCTCACTGAGGTGCGTGGGGTTGAGTAGCATTTACACCACAGCTGTTGTTGTTTGTCGGGAGTCAGTTTCCAATGTGGCTAATACGAAGGCTAGAACGTTATTTAAAATGAAAACTGAGATTCTGCAGCAAACAGCAATGTTTGTGGAGGGATCTTAAAAATTGTGGCCCATGCCTGCTCACCTGCCTTTCCACTGATGGAAGCAGAGGTCACTGGGGGCCTATTCGGCTCCCATTAGAGTCAGGGAGAGTCTTTCAGCTGATGTCAATGGAAGTTGGATCAAGTCCTAGGGCTCAAGCTCACTTGAGGAATTATATTTTAACAAATGCCCTGCCCCCTCATTTCAACTGGTTTTCAGAGTTGTTTGGTCATCTAGTGAGGATGAGGCCAAACTGACTTATAACCAGGTTTAAAAATATGATCTAGCATCAAGCCTATGGTCGTTTTATAATCTCTCACGATTACACAGGAGTAAATCCACTGGAAGCGTAGGTCATTGACAGATGATTTTACATTTTGTCAAAAAGTCAAGAGTCATTTAAAATAAGGCAAAAAACATCCCTAGGGATTATGCCCAGCTGGTACCAAAGTTTCACACTTGTGTTAGTGACCTTTGTAACAGTATTAATTAGCACAAGGCAAACATGGACTACAGACTATCCTCCCACATTTCTGATTTATTCAGAGCTGGGATCTGCAATACCTGGTTTGCCAGCTTTGATCTAGACACATTGATCTCTGTGCAATCAGATAAATCCGCTGCTGGAATTCTGTGGGAAAGAGAAATAAAAGCTAGGAAGCCTGTAATTTCCCACAGATGGTGGATTTTGCATTTCTACTTTTAGTAGTGTGCTAACGTCAGTGAGATGCAGACAACATGTCTGAGGGAAGTCATAAGGGATCCGGTCCATGTCCCTTTTGGAAGGGGTTAGTCACAGGGCATTTTGCCACACTCCCATGGACATTTCACTCCTCTTGTAAAAAAAGGGCCTGAGCTAGAAACTATAGATTTTCTCTTGCTCTCACTTCCATCAATTTTTTTTTTGCCAGTGTTACTCCACCGACATCAATGGAGCTAGTCACTATTTATACCAGTGAGAATGAGAGCAAATCAGATCCCATAAATCCAGATCCTTTTATAGTCTCTCCTCTTCCCCCCGCCCCCATAAAAGCTCTGTTAATTTAAAATTCAGGTTATGGAGTGAATTCTCCTTTACAAAACTAGACCATGAATATTGTGTCTCATTTATATTTAGGAAATAAAGCTGTAGAATACACAGGACAGGCTTCCGTAGCATCTGTGGGTACCAAGGTGCCAACAGGAGTATTAGTTCAGCCCAGTACATAAGATAGAGGAGTGACTCAGTAGAAAATAAAAATGCTCACTGTCAACAAGGGCTTCTCCTTGGGGGTCAATGTTAACAGGAAAGTAAAACATTTTGACATAACAGACACTGCCCAGCTCGGGGGGCTCAGCCCTGACCTTTGGCCTCTGGATGCAGAGCCCCATTTTCCCAAAGGCATCCTACCCCTTCTCCTAAGCAACCCACGTACATTGTGCCCTTCCCCCAGTGCTAGAAGAAATGGAAGGTGAGTGAGGATTAACCCCTTGTACACTAGGACCAGAGAAGTTCCAGCCACCGAACCAGACAGCTGGTTCTGTGGTTTAAGGTCAGCATAAGAGAATTTGCCATGAGCTCAAAATCCCAAAAGCTGCATTTTGCAGAAAGTGTCTAGAGGAGCATTGCGGTCAGTTGTATATACACACACAGTCTCAGTCCATAGTCACTGTCTGCAGCCATGTGTTCCAGGCACCATCACTCACAGAAGCAGTCAGAATTTAGACAGGGTTTAATAGGATTCTTATTGCACAGTGTAAATATCTGAACATGGGAAGATGCACAAGGTGTGAGCGGTGATCGCCTACAGAGAACACCACTGGGGACCAAGACTGCACTGCAGCAACAACTGTGACTCCAGGGATCGGATGAAGCAGTGGGGCAGTCCTTACATCATATCCTATGTTTAATGGTGAGCTTAGATGGAGGAGAACAAGGGAGGTGGAGAGGGGGTAAATCACAGATTTCTAGGCTCTGTTCATATCCTCTTTTCCCAGTGAACTTGAAGATGGGAAGGATGGACAGGAGAGAGACAGGGGAACAGGAAGAGAGGCAGAGAGGACAAGATCCACGTCTTCCACTTCTGACAACTCCCGAGGATGAGCCAGGGTCTCCTAAATCCTGCAAGAATGAACAGAAGAACACCACCTTGCAGTCACTTCTGGCTGCCAACAAGGGCTTATGACCAAGTGGAGGAAATTAACTGGCCACAAGAGACCAGGGCAGGTTCGAGAGAACATGCACTGCCGAAAAGTCCTTGAACTGAGAAGATTTACTTACCATGCCTGGCACCACAGCCAAGTATTTCAGGACTATACAGCCCATGCCAAGTCTGAGCCAGCACTCAGCAGTGAGGTTGATTAATCACAATGGTAACATTTATCTAGCTCCAGCCCTCTGATGGGTTTGAACTCAGGCTCCAGGCAGGGCTGTAAGCAGTGATGCTGCCCTCAGCCCAAGGTCTCTGTCAGCTGGAGTCCTTCCTCTGCTGATGGTCATGTTCCTACAGCCTCTGCTCCCCTGGCACTGATACGATGTTTTGCCATCACTGCCAGCTCCCCCCAGGAGGGGGATAAAAGCAAATGCCTTAACATAGCAACTTGTGTGTCATCTGTCCTCCCTGCCTAGGCAGCCAGGTGGGTACAAGGAAGAAGGCAAATGCATCAGTGGCATTACAAGGTACTTGAAGGTGGCCCTAATTTAAAGGGATCAAGTTCCAGGCTAGTGTCCTATCATGTGTCTTCCATCTGTGTTCTAGCTAATTCCTCATCCAGCCACACATGGGAAACTGGGAAAGGTTAGAGCCCATTGGAGCCACAGTCCCGACATAGCTCAGTCTCTGCTCACAATTCGCACACAGGGATCTACACTCACACCTGAGCCACAACACAGGACAAAACACACAGTACTCACAACTACAAACCCCCACAGGGAGGCACGCCGGCTACAGCGCACACACCAATGCCCACAACACACACACATCCATGCATTCCTACTCATGACCCCTACACACAGACATCTACCTAGAGACACAGCTCTGAAACCAACTTTTTACAAGTGTGCGCACACACTCCCATATCTACATGCACTCAGAGTACATCTACTTATCTAGGTACTCATATAGCTCGTCACTATAGTACTTCAGCACCAACCAATCTAATCGTCTTTGACCTTCTGTATCTAAACACTACGATTTCCTTTGTGGACCCACACAGCCATAGTGAAACGACATGGCTCCCTACCACTCACACAGATGCAGGTTGCTTGCTGTACCCCACTCAGCCATATGGAAGAGATGGACCCCACTCTCTCTTAGATGTTACAAAGTGGTCTAGGATGTCAGATTATGGCAAGCCCGAATGGGCAAGGCCGTTTGATCCTAGTAGCTGGGCTGCTGAAGAGGATAGCTGCCTGAAAAACCCTTGGATACCAGAATAGACTGGCACAAAAGCACAGGAGATTCCCAATGGTCCATTGAAGCCAGTCACGCTTTGTGATGGTGGCCAAATGGGCAGCTTTAGCACTGGAAGATTTAAGTGCTGGGAAGTATGCAGTGGAGTCCATATCCCAGACATCCAACATATCCAGCATGTAGTTTCTACAGGCTGCCCCAGCTGCCAGCACAACCCTGCAATGCCAAGGGGACACAAACCATGGCAGTCATTTCAGAAGAGAGCGTTTTTGTTGGATGGAACAGTCAGTTTGCCAGCATCGTTCCCTTTTAAGCTACATCCCCAAAGCCTTGGGGGCAGGCGAGTCGGGGACACACAGAACAGAAGCCAACTTCCACACATGGTCACGCAGGAGCCAGGGCAGTTAGCTGTAGAACACGGGCTTGCGATGGATGCGCACCACATTGTACGTGTTTAGTCCCGGGGCGTCAAAGCCGGGAGACAAACCCTTGCGGTCAAAAGGATAGAAATTAAAGAGCTGCCCATCCTGGGTCTCCAGTGAGACGGAGGCAGAGCCCAGCTGCAGAATGCATGGGAACTCCTTGTCAAAAACCACCTGGAAGACTCGGTCTTCCAGGTGGTGGAGCTTGATTGTCCGGTAGTTTTCAGGGATCAGCTCTTCAATATGGGGTCCAAACTGTTGCATGACCAGAACCCCAGTGGGCCCAACTTTAATCTCATAGAAGGTCAGGTTGGAGTAAGTGTAATAGCCAACATAAGGGGTGGGATTTGGGGGAGGGCTCAGGCTTTTCTCTGCCTCCCGGAACGCTGTCTCCATGGCAGGGATAAGGTACTCATATGTCTGAGTCACAATATCTCCCCCTTGGGGCCTAGGCCCTGCCATTAGCACTATGAAGCTTAAGCGGAGCTTGGGGACAAGGGAGAAGGTGGCTGAGTAGCCATCGAGGTCGCCATCCTTCCTGATGATATCATAGCCCAGCTGCTCATTGATCTCCCAGGGTGTGCCGGTCTTGTTGGCAAAGTATTCACTGGAGCACTTAAAAAGGGGCGTCAGCATCGTCTTCACCGTGTCCGGCTCCAAAAGGCGCCGGTGGTAGGTGCCTAGGAAGACCATTGCCAGCTTGGCAAGGTCAGCAGCTGTGGAGTACATCTGGCCAGATGGCCTGTACCAGCCCAAGTCATAAAGGGGGGCCGGCTGCCCACTGCTATAGAACCCGACGGCCATTTGGGAACGGATTGGGGGTGTGATATCAAAGCCAGTGTCCTCCATGCCCAAGCGGTCCAGGATATTCTCTGAGACCCACCGCTGGTACTCCCCTTCGGCGGCATGTTCTGCCAACACGTGGGCCATCAGAGAGAAGGCCAAATTACTGTAATGGCACCTGAAACGAGAAAGAAATGCAAATCAGTGTCATCTCCGAACATGGTTGTAACTGACGCTGGCAGTTCAGGTGCCCGCTTATGCCAAGGCCCCAGGCCTTACTGATCTCTCACAAATGCATGGCTGGAAACCAGTCTTGCTTACGTGTGTCAGCATCAGCAAACTATATTTTAGATGTTAAGTTGATAAGAATGTGTTTAGTGTTTTATAAAATGTGTGTAGGATGCTGCATGTATTGTTCTCACTCAACTATGCCTCATGTTATAATGTAACAGCAAACATTTGCATTGTATGTACACCTCTACCTCGATATAACGTGACCCGATATAACACGAATTTGGATATAATGCGGTAAAGCAGCGCTCTGGGGGAGCGGGGCTGCACACTCCGGTGGATCAAAGCAAATTCGATATAACGCGGTTTCACCTATAATGCGGTAAGATTTTTTGGCTCCCGAGGACAGCATTATATCAGGGTAGAGGTGTACCTCTGTAACTAAGTAATCCATCAAATGAGAAAGACGCCTGGTGTAATGCAAATGATGGTGTTTTACAAGAAGATATTAAATCCTGTTCATTAAACACAAATGAGTCGTGTGAGATCAAGGATCAAAGACTTTGTTCTCCTCTCCCCTTGTCCTATGAAGAAGGAACATGTGTGGGAACTGCTGCTGTCAGCTTGGTTTCTGTGAGAAGAAGCTATAAATATAGACACAAGGAAAAATTCTTCATCTCTGGACTGTTTGGATTCTAACAGGGCAGAATAACTGAATGGGAAGATGGAGGTCCCCAGAGTTATGCTGGTAGTCCTTAAAGACTTTTGGGAAACTGGCATATTACTACATCTCTGCTACCATTTGAAGTTATAGACTGACTCACATGTACATGTGTTTTTACCTGCTTTAACCTCTCAATAACTCTCATTCCTTTTTTTACCTAACAAACCTTTAGTAATTTTACTATAGAATTGGCTAAAAGTCTTGTCTTTGATGTAAGATTTAAGGTACAAATTGACCTGGGGTAAGTGACTGGTCTCTTGGGACTGGAAGCAACCTGAATATTTTGTGATTTTTGGTGTAAGTGACCCTTTATCACATAGTCCAGCTTGCCTGGCTGGCAAGATAGACTGGAGTGTCCAAGGGGACTGTCTGTGACTCCATTGTAAGTCTGTTGTAGTACTTTGGGAGTTCACATTTGTTACTGGGTTGGTGAAATCTAATTCTAGAACATACCACCAGTTTGGGGTGTCCGCCCTGGTTTTGACAGTCTGCTCTGAGGTTGGCACTCATGGTCCAGAGCCACTCCGGACAGCATGACAGCAACAACCCTGACCTCCAGAGATTCCACAGCATTAGGCATTCTATAAAAGCCACAGGCAGATTGTGATGTGGTCTGATCATGTGCTAATGGGAACTAAGAAAAGATATTTCCAAACCCTACTCTCTTGTGCCCTGAAACCACCTTAAACTTTCAGAGGGATCAAGGGCAGGCAGATTGAGCGCAGAAAGGAGGAAGAAAGAAAGAGGAGCAGAGGTTTTGCCATTCTGAATTGCTGGTAAGTCAGGAAATGTAGAATGGAAGATTCCTACAGCAGCATTAACTTAGCCACAGTGATTCAAATAGTCATAGATTCCAAGGCCAGAAAGTGCCACTGTGATCTGGTCTGCTGTATAACACAAGCCAGAGAACGTCCCCCCCAAAATTCCTAGAGCATGTCTTTTAGAAAAAAATATCTCTCGATGTGTGACCTGTAGATATCACAGTCCACATTTAGCAAGAGAGACTGGAAATACTACACCCAATACATGCCAAAAGACATCACTGCAAGAACAGTTAATTCTGCATTTCCTACCTTGTTATTAGTTGTTCAGCAGACAGTGCATTGAGTTTTCTGCACTTAATTTATCTTCACTTTTTTTTTTTTTTAAAAGGAAGGTTTGGGCTGAAGGCCTGTAGATGCAAAAATGTGCCATGTCTCTCAGGAGCAGGCCATAAAAGTCCCAGCTAAGCTGCTTTGCAGACTTAACATGGCACAAGCATTTAAACCACCTTAAGGTGGCAAAAGCACTTAAATTGCTTTGAGTCTGCAAGTCAGCATCACAGCAATGTTAAGTCCTTAAGGAAGCGTAAGTGCGTGAGTCCTGTAAGTCCATAAGCTGTTTTAAAAGTCTTAAGCTCGAATGGCGTCTATTGACATAAAACAGAAATTCGCACTTCAGAAACACACATGGGCACACTTTGTCTTTCTAGAATGTTTTCCACCAGTCATAATGTTGTAATTTATAATCAGGTTTTATTTCCACGCTTGGGCATGGCCATAGTTCTCCATGGGCACTTCATACACACCAAGCTCAGCCATTTTTGAACTAACTGGAAATAAAAGCATGATAATCGTTTTAAACAACAGGAAAATTTTTTTTTTCCTCCCTACACTAATGTCACAAAAGTGGCTGAAAATATTCTGTTCAAAGTTCCCAGAAAAATGTTACCATTGCATGGATGCGAAGACAGGAAATGTTCCTGTGAAAAGATTAACTTTTCAGAATGCTATGGGCACGTATGAACAAGGGAAAAAAATCAAAATAATTTTGACATCTGAAGTACCAAAGTGCTCAGAGACCAGCATGTGATCCCGGAGGCACACATCTACCTCAGTGACGAGTGAGACAGGTTAACACATCTGCAGGCCATAAGTAACCATTATGCTCATGTAGTCTGACTGCCTGGCCAGGATTTCACCCAGAGTTTCCTGAACTAATCCCATAACTTCAGGTGGAGCTACAGCAGAGCGTTTAGAAACAGTATCCACTCTGCATGTAAAGACTCCGTGTAATGGAGACTCCGCCAGGTCCCTAGGCAAGTTGTTCCAATGATTAATTACCCTCACTAAAAATATGCAAAGTTTGAGTTTGAATGTGTCTACTGTCAGCTTCCAGCCATTGGATCCTGTTCTGCCTTTGTCTCTTAGATTGATGAGTTCTCTATTATCAGGCACCTTAATTTTTGGCATTTTCTAACTGTTAAATGCTTGACTTTGCAAACCCAGGTAACGGTCTTGTAACAGGGTTTTTTGTTGCAATGGACATTTATAGAATTATTGACAATGTGTTGATTTTCTTGTACTTTCTTTACCTGACAACTGGATTCTTTTCTGGAATGGATCACCAAGACCTCAGCCTGTGCCTTCTCCACTGCAGATGTAAATTCTGTCCTGTCCTATTCTACCAGACACAGATCAGCCATGGGACCTGGGGTTAATGTGGCAGAATGGCCTTGCGTCCCTTCTGGCTGTGTTGCCACTAGTTGCTAATGCTGACTTCCAAACCGTTCCACTTTGTCTTCTCTCTCTGTATCTAACGGTACCTGAGTGAATGATGCATGTTAAAGGAGAGCGAGGATTGCAGGCACTGTACTGTAACAGGAAGGAACTGTCTGCACCCCTTGCAGCTTTGGTTCTGACTCCTTAGCAGTTAAGCATTGCGATAGTCGCCAGATATTAGCCAAGAGAAGTGTAAGTCGTGCATACACCTGACCTGGTTCCTGGATCAACTACCAGAACATCATCCTTCAGGAGAGCGAGGGCATCTTGCGTGCTTCCTCTCCACAGCAGACTGGTGGACCGCAGCCTCCTGGGCAGCCCTGTGCCATGGGAAGAAGAGGACATAAAACAGCAAGAGACAAATATTGGTTTTTGTTAGGATAACATCAAGATTCACTCGTTGAGTCTGCTCAATAATGAGCCAAAATGGGAGCGTCAAAGACAAAGGAAAACAGCAATGATTAATTACACTCTCTACCAAAGACACAGCAAATGTGCTACTACTCATAGACCCATAGACTTTACGGCCAGAAGGGACCATCATGATCATCTAGTCCGACCTCCTGCACATCACAGGCCATAGAACGTCGCCCACTCACTCCTGTAATTGACCCATAACCTCTGGCTGAGTTACTGACGTCCTCAAATCATGATTTAAAGACTTCAAATTACAGAGAATTCACCATTTACACTAGTTTAAACCTGCCCCAGACTGCAGAGGAAGGCAACCCCCACCCCCCAGGATCTCTGCCAGTCTGACCCAGGGACTTCAGTACAGTACAATGTAGAGAGCTATACCAGGGACAGGCGAATCATTCGGTAATAAGGTAAGAGCTGACCCACACTTTTCTGCCAGACTTGTTCTGCTTCCTTTTAGTAAAATGTCTTGAAGAATTATAACACCCTAGCTGGATCCAGGCATATGCAAGAGCCTTTTGGAAGGAAAGACTGATTGAAAGGGCTCAATAGATCCCAGCCTGAGCTTTCAAGTGAACATGGATCCATTAGCTTAGTAGCTCGTGCAAATCTGACCCAGGGACAACTGCTCCTGCAGTTTCCATTACATCCCCAGTTGTCATTTATTTATAAATGTCAGGAACATCCATTTTGCTGACATTTTCCAAACTGGTTTCTGTCCCAAAGTGATGTTTTGTTTCAGTTTGTGCTAAATTCCTCCAGATTTTTTTTTGAGTTGTAGGAGAGTGAAAACGGTTCACTTTTCCCACTGGAAATAAAATACATTTTAACCACACTTTTCAGAACAGGGCTCCATTAAACAACACCCTGAGGCCAAATTCTCAGCAAAACGTCATAGCTGCAGTGACTTCATTGAGATGATTTACACAAACTGAGGATCCGGAAGTGTAACCTGGAACTTGTCATGCGCAGAATCCTCAGCGGTCTAGGGCCTGAGCATGGTTTGGGGGGGAGGGGGGGGGACTTGTGACCGAGAGGGTAAAAGCAATAGAAAAATTACTTTGTTTGCATCAAGGTCAGTGAGCACTTGCCAGGAGTCATAGATTGTTAATCCAGAAGGGACCACTGTGATCCTCATCTGACATGTATAAAAAAGGCCATAAAATGTGGGCAAAGTGTAATGAAGCCCCTCCCTCTTTGTTCGATCAATGCACGAGTTCCCTATCTATCCTAACCGGGGCAGTTGGGCAGGCTGTAGGGATCAGGGTGGAGGCAGTCACGCCTAATGGTTAGAGCAGGGGTCAGCAACCTTTCAGAAGTGGTGTGCCGAGTCTTCATTTATTCACTCTAATTTAAGGTTTGGCGTGCCAGTCATACATTTTAAGGTTTTTAAAAGGTCTCATTCTATAAGTCTATAATATATAACTAAACTATTGTTGTATGTAAAGTAAATAAGGTTTTTAAAATGTTTAAGAAGCTTCATTTAAAATTCAATTAAAATGCAGAGCCCCCCAGACCAGTGGCCAGGACCCGGGCAGTGTGAGTGCCACTGAAAACCAGCTCGCGTGCCGCCTTTGGCACACGTGCCATAGGTTGCCTACCCCTGGGTAGGAGTCAGGAGCTTGGAACTGAAGCCAGGGTCAGAGTCAGGAGCCAAGCCAAAGGTCAGAGGCGGAGACAGAGTCGGGGTAGGCTTTAGAAACAGGGACATGGAGTGAGGCAGGAAAGCAGGAACCGGGAACAGACAGGGGCCTGGGATAAGGAGACCAGGAACAAGCAGGAAGGCAGGGCTCAGGCAAGGAGGCAGAGACCATACTCACAGCCAGTCAAGGATCCCTCTAGTTGATCATACAACTTTCTGTGTCTTTTTTCTGGTTTAAGTAGAGCTTCCCAGCCAATCGGTGGGACTGGATGGCTCACTCAACCAGGAGCTTTGTGGGTGGGGCCTTTTGCAAGCTAGAGCATCACTGCCCCCCTTTTCCCCTCACTCAAGTGAGCTGCTGGGTGGTGGCTGTGGTCTGAGGCCTGCACGGGGCTCTGTAGGTCTGGGTTGAGGCCCATGATTTCTCATGCAAGCCAGGGAGCTGCTGCTACAATAGCTGACTTGCATAGTTAAATATTTTCTATTCCTGTGCAACTTAATGACCTGATCCTACAACATACTGGGAACCTTCTGAGAGACACTGAATGCCCTCATCTCTCATTTGCTTCAGTGGGAGTAAAGGCACTCAGCTGACCGGGCCGTTAAAAGTCTGGTCGGCGGCGCAGGCAGGCTCCCTGCCCAGCTCCACACGACTCCCGGGAAGCTGCCGGCATCTCCCTCTGGCTCCTAGGCGGAGGGATGGTCACTGGGGCTCTGTGCGCTGCCCCCTCCCCCAGCACCAGCTCAGCTGCTCCCATTGGTCAGGAACCGCAGCCAATGGGAGCTGAGGTGGTGGTGCCTGCAGGTGCAGTCAGCACAGAGAGCCACATGGTCGCGCCTCCGCTGAGGAGCCGTAAGGAGATGCCGGCAGCTTCCTGGGAGCCTCCTGAGGTAAGTGCTGCCTGGAGTCTTCACCCCCTCCTGAATCCCAACCCCCTGCCCCAGCCCGGAGCCCCCTCCTGCACCCCAAACCCTGACCCCACCCCAGAGCCTGCACCCCCAGCCGGAGTCCTCACCCCCATGCACCCCAACTTGCTGCCCCAGCCTGGATCTCTCTCCTGCACCCTGAACCCCTCATTTCTGGCCCCACACCGGAGCCTGCACCCCCTCCCACACCCCAACTCCCTGCCCCAGCCTGGAGCCCTCTCCTGCACCCCAAACCGCTCATCTCTGGCTCCACCCCAGAGCCTGCACCCCCAGCTGGAACCTGCACCCCTGCTCCAGCCTACAGCCCTCTCCTACACCCCAAACCCCTCATTTCCGCCACCACTCCGCCCCCCCCCCCCCCACCCCCCCCCCCCCCCGGGGAAAAAGAGCGAGTGAGCGGGGGTGGGGGAGAGCAAGCAACTGAGGGAGGGGGATGGAGTGAGTGGGGGCATGGTCTCAGAAAAGGGGTGGGGCAGGGGGCGGGGCAAGAGTGTTTGGTTTTCTTCAACTAGAAAATTGGCAACCCTAGCACCAAACAGGCAATGCTCAATCCCTTGTAGAGTCAGGGGCTGATACAGTAGAGCCTGGGAGGTTCATAGTAAGGTACTGCAATCTGCAAATTAGGAAGTGAACAAGCATAACCGAAAAAAGCAAGGTCATTGCTTTATGCAACACACTTTGTTAATTGAGCCAACAAGTGTAGTCATAATTATTTATAACAGCATTTCATATTATAATAAATACATAAGTACATTTCAATATAACAAAATCTTAGCAACCTAGCACTTTGCTCTAGCACTATCTCTGCTCAGAGGTGTGAGTGGATTTTACAGCGTGCAGATCAGAGAAGTGCAGGGTAGTGAGGCTGCATTGTATATTACTGTTTATGCTGTAAAAAGCCACCGCTAAGATATACATCATGTGCAATACTGCAGCATTAACGTTGCTATTAAAATCTTAACTTTTGCATTTCCTGACTTTGGGGGTTTAACTGTGCAACTATAACATTGCATTTGATATTGGATTCACTTTTAAAAATCTTCCTTCCCTAATTACTAGACTGGGACGGTGTATGCCGCTAACCACACCTTGCTGACAATAAAAACATGCATAACATGTGTTGGGTTTACTCTGTAAGGTGCTTTTCATCCCTCAGTTTTAAAGCACCTTACAAGGTGTGCTAGCATCATTATCCCCATTTTACAGGAAGTGCAATGAAAGCAAAGGCAAATCCCTGCCTGCTGATGCCAAGATTACCTGCTTCTGGGTTAATAATGGAATCTGCACGCTTCTAAAGGAGTGTCAAAGCAGGGCACTTGATGCCAGCTAACAGCAGGCATTAATAGCTGTACCTTTTGAGGGATTTCCAGATTACATCAGGCCCTGCCATCTACAGCTACTTTAGTATGGAAGTTACTCATTGATAAGAGAAACAGCAGATTAAGAGCCGTCCCCTGACATCAAATACCAGGCTATTAATAGTTCAGGAATCCCAGATCAGGAGGGTGCACTGCTAACCTTTCGATTATAGAAGCTATATCCCTTCAAAACAAACAACGCTTAGCAATTCTCTGCCTCCCAACTCCGCCTCTCAGACAGTGACAGCACTCTGGGCTGGGGCGAAACTGTGGTGAGTAGAAGCTGCCTCACATTTCATCCCTGATTTCAATGCAGGAGCCAGGGCCGGCTCCAGCCACCAGCTAAAGAAGCAGGTGCTTGGGGCGGCCAATACCAAGGAGCGGCACTCCGGCCGCTATTGGGGCGGCACATCCGGGTCTTCGGCGGCGGGTCCTTCATTCCCTCTCCGAGCGAAGGACCTGCCGCCGAATTGCCGCCGAAGAGTGGAGCAGCAGAAAACCTGGAGCCGGCCCTGGCAGGAGCCTGAATTACAAAGAAAAATGATTCTGACAGGAAACAGCAGCTCCTACTGGCTTAGCCAGGGGAAGACCTACTCATCATAGCTTCTACCAGCTCAGTCAGTGGGAGGCATATCCCAGACAACAGACCGACTCAGTGCACCTCCCAGGAGCTGGGCTGGAGAGAGGCTCCCTTTTGGCTCGCCTGTTGGAGCGGCTGGAGGATCCTGGTTCACACCAGGAGGGGCTGTTTGCACTGCCTGACAAACACACAGACAGGTTTTTGCATTGCCGTGACCGTTCTCACTGGGGACAGGGAGTTTTGCTGTTTTAATTGGTATGTTGATGCACGGAGTCAAGCAGGAGAATGTAGTGAGGATTGAAGAACTGGAAGTGGGGTTCTCTCACCTGAGAGCTGGCTAGCCATCCTGCGCAGTGTAACAGGCGATGGCTTGAGGGGCAGCGACCCCTTCTCCAGGAAGATCAGTCCATCCGCTGTGTATCTTTGTTCAGATTCCTTGAGTCGCCCCAGAGGATTTTTAATAATGAAGCTCTGGGCATAGCGTTCCAAAGGGTCATCCAGAGAGGTCACCTTCCCTTCCTCCCACAGTTTGTAGAGCATGATAGTGGGGAAGATCTTGGAGATGCTGGCAATCCTGTCGTGGGACAAACGGTTACATGGCTTCACCACCAGCTGCTAGTCCAGCATTAACTAGTCCATAGGCCAAGCTACATTCCCTCTAATTTTTTACATCCGTGTGCGGAATGAATTTTGTTATGTGCACCAATATGGAGGTGATGTGTGGCAGGGGTGTGGCCAAGGGATTCAGAGTGTGGGAGGGGGCTCAGGGCTGGGGCAGAGGGTTGGGGTGCAGGGGATGAGGATTCCAGCTGGGGGGTGAAAGCTCTGGGGTGGGCTGGGGATGAAGTACTTGGGGTGCAGGCTGCCCTGAGGCTGCGGCGGGGAGAGAGGACTCCCCCAGCCCTCTCTCATGGCAGCAGCCCAAGGCCAAGGGAGAGGACCAGACTTCAAAGAGAAACTGGTGAGCTTCAGTTCATCTGCAAATTTGACACCATCAGCTCAGGATTAAACAAAGACTGTGAATGGCTAGCCAACTACAAAAGCAGTTTCTCCTCCCTTGGTGTTCACACCTCAACTGCTAGAAGAGGGCGTCATCCTCCCTGATTGAACTAACCTCGTTATCTCTAGCCTGACTCACTCTTGCTTGCATATTTATACCTGCCTCTGGAAATTTCCACTACATGCATCCGACAAAGTGGGTATTCACTCACGAAAGCTCACGCTCCAATACGTCTGTTAGTCTATAAGGTGCCACAGGATTCTTTGCTGCTTTTGCAATTTTTAGGTTTCAGAGTGGTAGCCATGTTAGTCTGTATCAGCAAAAACAATGAGGAGTCCCCGGTGACAACTCTGTCCACATATCTATTCAAGGGACACCATCGTAGGACCTAACCACATCAGCCACACCATCTGGGGCTCGTTCACCTGCACATCTACCAATGTGATATATGCCATCATGTGCCAGCAATGCCCCTCTGCCATGTACATTGGCCAAACCGGACAGTCTCTACTCAAAAGTATAAATGGACACAAATCTGACATCGGGAATCAAAACATTCAAAAACCAGTAGGAGAACACTTCAACCTCTCTGGTCACTCAATAACAGACCTAAAAGTGGCAATTCTTCAACAAAAAAACTTCAAAACCAGACTCCAACGTGAAGCTGCAGACCTGGAATTAATTTGCAAACTGGATACCATCAGATTAACCCTGCATAAAGACTGGGAGTGGTTGGGTCATTACAAAACCTAAACTTAATTTCCCCCATACTAATTTCTCCCTACTGTTACAGACAGTTGACAAGAAGGTGGGAGTAACGGGCCACTCTCTTACCACTTCAAAAGTTATTTTTCCTCCCTTGGTATCCTGCTGTTAATTGATTTATCTCGTTAGACTGAGCTCACACTTGGTAAAGCAACCCCCATCCTTTTATATATTTATACCTGCTCCTGTATTTTTCACTTCATGCATCCGATGAAGTGGGTTCTAGCCCATAAAGCTTATGCCCAAATAAATTTGTTAGTCTCTAAGGTGCCACAAGGACTCCTCGTTGTTTTTGCAATTTTTAGGAGACGAATACCTGGGGCCAAATTTGGGGGAATGTTAATGGCAACAGCAGGGAGATCTCCCTGAGGTTAAGTCCCTGCTTCAAAGCATAAAGGCACGAGGGCTTTTCAACTAAACAATTGTAAGAATTTTCTAATATGACAAAACAACGTATTTCCCTTAATCTTACCCATCTTAACACTGCTTTTCATAATTATGCCCAAGTCTTCTTCTTGAGTTGGGATAGTTAATTTAGAGCCTCTAGGTGGATGAGTAATTCAGATTTTCCCTTAAATATGCATAACTTTGTATTTTCAGCATTGAATTTTATCTGTCATATTGCCTATTTACCTAGCTTGATTCTCGATTAGTTCCCTGTGAAGCTCCTCACAGTCTTCTCTAGGCTAGTTTAACCTGAATAATCAGGAAATTTTGCCACCTCAGTACTCACTTTTTTCCAGACCACTAATAAATACATGAAACACCACTGGTCCTAGAATAGAACTGTCCTGTACCTCATGTTTAATCTTTTCCCATGCTAACCATTTCTTCTCTTTGTTTGCTGTCTCTTTGCCAGATCAAGAACACCCCTTAAATACAGGGCAGGTTATCACTAAAGCCAATGTAGTGCTGGTTAAGTAATCCTTTCCATACCTGTGCATGAACTTTATACAATTATGCCCTTATGTTGTATGTGCGCATTTTACAAAATCCTGAAGAAAGCATATGCCCCTCTTACCCATGCACACATTCCAGCTCCATTGCTGCCCTCCCCAAAATGTGTTTGCCATTTGAAGGGATCAAAGGCCTTGAAGTGACATAAATTGATCTAAAGCTACTAAACCGATTGGTTTAAAAGGATAGTTCTACTCATAAAAGTGACTGTCTAAAATGGCATTGTGGGTGTCCTATTTATTACATCTCAGCAACTCAGGATCAAGTACAGGGCCGGCTCCAGGCACCAGCTTAACAAGCCGGTGCTTGGGGCGGCCAAGGGAGAGGGGCGGCACCTGCGGCAATTCAGGGGCGGCAGGTCCCTCACTCCCTCTAGGAGTGAAGGACTTGCCGCCGAACTGCCGCCGCCACTCGCGGCTTTTTTTTTTTTTGCTTGGGGCGGCAGAAATGCTGGAGCCGGCCCTGATCAAGTCCGCTCAGTTTACATGTAAAAGGATGTATTTTCCAACTTCTAGTGCTGCAAATGACCCCTGTGAGTCAAGTTGTGGTCTTCCCTTATCATGCATCATCCTCAGGGATATTGGTTCTGCAGACAAAATTCTGCCCTCAGTGACCCTTGTTCTCCCCATCCCTTTGCCTTCAATGGGTTTGCACAGCTGGTAGAACCTGAGCCCTTGAGGAGTACAGAGAGGTAAAAACATATTTTTGTCACTGCCGTGGGTGTGCAATGTTTATTCTGGTTGGTGAGCACCTGATTGTGCACGGAACCCCATTGCAGTCAACAGAGTTACTTGCAATTGCGTGCGCTCACCAGGGTCAGTGGGGCAGAGCCGCTGAATAAGAAGTAAAAATGCACTTTAAACTGCAAAGAACAGGGAGGGGTAAGGGTAGCTGGGTTCATGGTAAGACTGAGCAGGCAAGGACGGACAGGGTTCAAGACAAAATAGGTTCAAGCTGACTTCAGTTCAGATCATCCCATTTTAAGACGCGATTAATTGACATGTGAATAACTTCCCTAAACGGACTGACCGAACCAGCCACATTTTGAGAAAGGCGGTTTAGTCATTTTGACGCTATCAGTGTTTTAAGTCAGCAATTTCTGGGACCCTCCGAACTCCGTTTAGCTCAATCCAAAGCTGGAGTGCTTCAGAGCCTCAGGGTGCTCGGAATTGCTGCAGCTTTGAATGGCTCAAAAAACAAAGGCAAAAGTTTCAAACTGATTTTAAATGTTCATAACTTTAAAATTTCTAGGGATTTTCATCAGACTTAGCTTGACCTTTAAGTTTTAATAAGATCTACCAAAGAATCAAGTTTGAGGAAAATCAGTTGAATAGATCAAAAGTTATAAATATTTAAATTGAGCAACGACGATAAGAAACCCTGCTTCATGCCCATGTGTAGGGCAGTTCTTTTGAAGGGCCTGATCTAGGACCTATTCTGCTCACATTTAAGAGAACGACTAACCTTTCGTTGACTTCACTGGGGGAAGGAGTATGTCCCAGGGCCACCCGGGTGGGGGGGGGGGCAAGTGGAGCAATTTGACCCAGGCCCCGCAGGGGCCCCCATGAGAATATAGTATTCTATAGTATTGCAACTTTTTTTTATTGAAGGGGCCCCCGAAATTGCTTTGCCCCAGGCCCCCTGAATCCTCTGGGCGGCCCTGGTGTGTCCATACTGGCTTCATCTACTGGGCATGCTCAGGATACATTTCCCAAATACAGGACTCATTACTTTGCTAAATGAACCCCATTTTTCCCCCAAGTCAGCAAAAGCATTAACCCTCAGTATGGATTATGCACAGGCCAAGTTTCAAGCATTAGATCGCTTGCTCTAGTGCTGTACAGAAAATGGTGACTAGGTTTTTCTGCAGTGGAAAAATATTTCTTTTCACTCTGATGGAACTCAGAAACAGTTGATGTTGCCCCAACTTTAAAAAATAAGATAAAAGCCACCTGCATGCAGAAACCAAGCCTTGAAAGTTTCATCCCAAACAGTAAATGCTTCAGTAAGCTGAGAGCGTGTTTAAGATGGGAAAATAATAGAAGCTGTTATCTAGCCTGAACTATAGAGTCTGCAGCACTGGGGGTGGGGTGGTAAAATGGGGCCCAGCTGGGGGTACCCCTCCCCCCAAAACTCACTAGACCCAGAGCTGTGCAGGGGAGACCCCCCAAAATCTAGGGGCACTAGGAACCAGGTGGTGCCTCCCCTTCACATGGACTTACTGCAGATAGGAGCCTTTTGGAGAACATTCTACCCTGCCCTGTGTTGATTAGCTGTTTGCTCCAACCTTCCCCCACAATCTCTTCATCTTAGGCTATATCTACACTTCACTTTCATTGTTAAAACTTGTGTCGCTCAGGGGTGGGGAAAAAACGCCCCCCGAATGACAAAAGTTTTAACAATGAGAAACACTGGTTTGGACAGTGCTTCGTCAGCGGGAGATGTTCTCCCGTCGACGAAGCTACCGCCCCTCATTGGGGATGGTTTTATTTTGTCGTCAGGGGAGCTCTCTCCTGGTGACAAAGAGCCTTGCAACGGCACTGCTGTAGCGGCACAGCCGCGCCGTTGTAAGGTGCACAGTGTAGACACAGCCGTAGCTGCATTCCACACCTGCTCCTCTTATCCTCAACTCCCCTGCCCTGCCCTGCCCCCCTCATGCTCTTCCTCTGCCTTTTCTTTTATTTAACTGATCCCTTCCAAACTAAATCCACCCACCCAATCAATAAACAAATTGTGAAACTAACACAGGGGTCGGCAACCTTTGGCACGCGGCTTGCCAGGGTAAGCACCCTGGCGGGATGGGACGGTTTATTTACCTGCCGCGTCCGCAGGTTTGGCCAATCACGGCTCCCACTGGCCGCGGTTCGCCGCTCCAGGCCAATGGGGGCGGCGGGAAGTGGCATGGGCCGAGGGATGTGCTGGCCACCCTTCCCACAGCCCCCATTGGCCTGGAGCGGCGAACCGCGGCCAGTGGGAGCCGCGATCGGCCGAACCTGCGGACGCAGCAGGTAAACAAATCGGTCCGGCTCGCCAGGGTGCTTACCCTGGCAAGCTGTGTGCCAAAGGTTACCGACCCCTGAACTAACATGACATTTTCTGCCATCCCACCGTTCGCTCTGTTTGTGTATTCTACCCCCTCCCGCACCCTGTGTCTGGTCTATTTAGATTGACAGCTCTTTGGGGCAGGGACTGTCTATTACTCTGTTTGGACAGTGCCTGGCACAAGGAGCCCCATTCTTGGTTGGCCCAGAGGCAGGCCTATAATAAACATTAGTAATGATATTAATCTCCTACAAAGCCAATGTAATACTTCCAAACAGAGACTCACTGCAACTATATGGATCAGACTTCTGCTGGACACTAAAAAACATGGACTTAACGGAGACATGGGTTTTATGGCTCATTACAACAATTTGCAACACATCCTACTGCTGCCAGCCCTTCATTTCAAATGATCTCCTAACAGCATATGGGAAACCCTTATGCTTAACAATCTGTCCCACCCTGTATTTAGCTCAGACACTTTGATTACTGTTCCCAGACCTGAGGAAGAGCTCTGTGACTCTCGAAAGGTTGTCCCTTCCACCAATAGAGGTTGGCCCAATAAAAGGTATTTCCTCACCTACCTTGTTTCTCTCGTGTCCTATAACACTGCAAACAAGACCGTTTCATTGTAACTGCACCTGGTGCACATTAGAGGGAGGATCTGTGATGGCTGTTCCATTCTTATTGCCCCACATTTGGAAGAAGTAGGGTTTTTTTAAGATTTCAAAACGTATTTATGTAATTGAATGGATATGAAGTGTATACATCCCTCCCACTTGCTGTTTATTAGGGCATGGTGACAGTAATTTTCCACTAACCCAATAGCTAAACCATACCCAGTTCCTGCTGTATAAACCGGCAAACCGCACCTGTAAATGGTGTACTCATTGGGCATTGCGGAGAAGGGGTCAGAGCCATTTTTCTTCCCAAAGTTGCCTGTCCAGAGCACAGTGTCATTGTAGATAACAATGGCAGACATGGCCGGGAGGCCTGGGCTATGGATTTTATGGCGCAGAAGCATGTCCACCTAGGAGAAGATTAGAAAGTGGTGAGGAGTTTGAAGGTGAGCAGAGAGTAGAACCAAGAAATGAATCAATACAATAATGCACTCACAGTGAACAGGGATAATTACCTTTATCTACAAACAGTTCTGCCCTAAGACAAGTCAAAATATTTAAAACAAAGCATTTTTCATTAATGATCGGTCTCTGAAAATTGAATTTTTCACAAAATCTTCGCTTTTGAATATCCCAGCATTTCTTTAATGTTTTTGAATGAATTCAAATGAGCAGGGTCTGATGCTATTCATCCGAGGGTGCTGAAGGAATTAGCTGAAGAAATCTCGGAACCACTGGCAAGAATATTTACAAACTCGTGGATGACAGGAGAGGTCCCAGAAGACTGGACAAGGGCAAACGTAGGGCCCATCTTTCAAAATGGGAAAAAGGAGGAGCCCAGGAACTACAGACCAGTCAGCCTGACCTCAATACCTGGGACGCTACTAGAGCAATGTATAAAACATTCAGTTTGCGAATACCTGGCAGATGAAGGCATAATCACTAGCAGCCAGCATGGATTTGCCAAGAACAAATCATGCCAAATCAGCCTGATTTCCTTCATTGGCAGGGTAGCTGATTTGGTGGATGGGGAAATGCGGTGGACATAATATACTTGTACTTCAGCAACGCTTTTGACTCAGTCCCACATGGCATTCTAATAAGTAAGCTGGAGAAACGTGGGCTCGGAAGAACTACCATTAAGTGGATACATAATTGGTTAAGCAACTGCAAACAAAGAATAACTATTAATGGAATGATGTCGGATTGGAGGGAGGTCTCAAGTGGGGTTCCACAGGGATCTGTTCTGGATCCGGTGTTGTTTAACGTCTTTGTTAATAACCTGAATGTAGGACTAGAGAGCACACTGATCAAGTTTGCAGATGACAAAAAGCTGAGGGGGTTGCCAACACTTTGGAGGATAGAGCTAAAATTCAGAGGGATCTGGATAAATTGGAGAACTGGGCTATAGACAATAAAATGGAATTCAAAGACAAATGTAAGGTGCTACACTTAGGGAAGAAAAACTAAATGCACAAATACACAATGGGGGATAACTGGCTTGGCAGCAGCCCTGCTAAGAAGGATCTGGGAGTTGTGGTGGATCACAACCTCAACATGAGCCAGCAATGCGCTGCTTTTGCAAAAAAAAGGCAAATGCAATTTTAAGTTGCATTAACAGAGGCATAGCATGCAAGTCATGGGAGGTGATAGTATCGCTCTACTCGGCACTGGTTAGGCCTCAGATGGAGTACCGTGTGCAATTTTGGACACCAACGTATAGAAAGGATGTAGAGAAACTGGAAAAGATCCAGAGGCGAGCGACAAAGATGATCATAGGGAAGGAATGCAAACCATAGGAACTGGGTATGTTTAGTTTGGAAAAGAGGAGATTATGGGGGGATAAGATAGCGGTCTTCAAATACTTAAAAGGCTGCTATAAAAAGAGGCAATGGATTCAAAATACAGCATAGCAGATTTAAATTAAAATCTCAGGAAAAACCATAGGCGCCGACTCCATGGGTGATCTGGAGCTCAAGCCCCCACAGAAAAAAATAAGGGGTGCTCAGCACCCCCAGGGGCTGCCGATCAGCTCTTCGGCCACTGGTGGGAGGCTCTCACAGGAGGGCGGAGACCCTTGGGGGCAGGGCAGAGCCTCAAGGCAGAGCAGGGGTGAAGCACCCACTGGGAAAAATAAAACTCAGTTCCTGTGGGAAAAACTTCCTAACTGTCAGAACAGTAGGACAATGGAACAGACTGCCTCGGGAGTCAGGAGGTCATGGAAGCTCCTTCACTGGAAACTTTCAAAAGGATAGTCACTTGTCTTGGATGGTTGAGATATAATAAATCTGTAACTTGCCAGGGGGTTAGACAAGATAGCCCTTGCGGTACCGTCTATCCCTATGGTTCTATGAAATGTGAGTCCTCACACTAATATTGTAGGGTGGAAGATGCATAAAGCCAAGGTCCTGACCATCTGTGGATATTAGAAGATTCCACGGGACTTTTACAACATCAAGCAGATCAGTCCCTGTGTCTTGCCCAAATTCCAATCTGGAATCTCTTTTTTACTTGCAGTATCAATTGGATTGACCAGATTCTCTCTGCTCTACTGTGCACATGGCTGAGCAGTGTTAGAAGCTACTGCACTCCCCAGGGAGGGGATTCTCAGTGATGGACTCTTACATACAATAGCTTTGTAAAGGACATGGAATCATTATGGATAAAAGCCTCCATCACACAGGACAGCGCTCACCCCCAAACCCTTCCCTTTGTTCAGCCCACACCCCTCTCCCATGCTCACCCAAACCCTTCCCCGTGCGCTCACTCAAACCCCTCCCCCATATTCATTACTAGAGCTGATGAAAAACCCAATGAAATGCCTGACTCTTGGCAGCCGTGCAACTTCAGTGGGGAGATCAACTTCCCTGGAGACCTGAGTTTTACCCCATGATAGCCCCATATGGCCTTGATTGGCACATCAGCATCCCAAGGGAGCAGTGTGTGGAAGTCCATTGGCCAAGTACAACCCTACATTTAGTTTCCACAAGGAATGCTGAGAGGTACCCATGTAGCCATGTCCAACCCAATAAAGAGCTCAAGGGAATAGAAGAATTGCCACATGCAGTCAGACCAGTAGCCCATCCAGTTCAATATCCTCTCTCTGATTTTGGCCAATACCAGATTCTACAGAGGAAGGTGCAAGAATTCCTGTAATGGGCCGGGCCACTGTCTGGAGTGGCTCATGACCAAGAGTGCCAACCTCAGAGCAGACTGTCAAAAAGCAGGGCGGACACCCCAAACTGGTGGTATGTTCTAGAATTAGATTTCACCAACCCAGTAACAAATGTGAGCTTCCAAAGTACTACAATAGTCCTATAATGGAGTCACAGAGAGTCCCCCTTGGACACTCCAGTCTGTCTTCCCAGCCAGGCAAGCTGGACTATGTGATAAAGGGTCACTTACACCAAAAATCAGAAAATATTCAGGTGGCTTCCAGTCCCAAGAGACCAGTCACTTACCCCAGGTCAATTTGTACCTTACATCAAAGAGAACACTTTTAGCCAATCCTGTAATAAACTAACTAACTGTGTATTAACTGGGAAAAAGAAATAAGAGAGTTATTTAGGGGTTCAAGCAAGCAAGCAAGCATATAACACAAATGAGTTTCAGATTGTGATTCAAAAGGTGACAGCATTGTAGCAATCTGTCAATTCAAAACATCTTTCAGGGCTAACCAATGCCAGCAGCATGGGGATCTCTTTTGCTTATGTTTAGGAATCTTTGCCTCTCAGAGTCCAGACAGGATGAAAGAGATTCAGTTTTTCCTTGTCAGGGACTTTAAACCCCTCCATTCCAGGGTCCCAAATGATGGGATAAATTGTAGATCTCTCCTTCCTGGAGGGAGTTAAGAATGCCATCAACAGGGTCTCTGTCCTTTGATGTTACACAGTACCTCAATGGGCCATCTTGTATGCAGGGTCAGCACTTTACCTTAATTAATGCTTCTTTTACTGTTTGGTGAGTTACACAAATACAGAGGTTTACAATGCAAACACTCAATATAACTTTATACCATGGGCTATTGGGATTGTAAGTGAGATCAATACATACAGCATCCTGCAGGCATTTTATAGTCTAAACACTTAGCACATTCTTATCAACTTAACATCCAATATCTATTCTGATAATACTAACACACAGATAAGCCAGACTGGTTTCCCAGCTATGAATTTGTAATTGTTCAGTGCAGCCTGGGGCCTTGGAATGAGCTGGCACCTGGTCTGCCATGGACAATTATAGATAATCTATAACAATCTATCCCATTGGGGGAATGTTTTCCTAAGCCCCATCTCTTAGTGAATATAACCTCTCAATTCTTCCCAGGATAGAGTCCCCCATCCTATAAGTATGGCCTGCATTCTTTGTTCCTAGATGCATACATTTATATTTACTCATATTAAATTGCACATAGTTTACTTACAACCAGTTTACCAAGAGATCTGGATCACTCTGAATCAGTAATCTGTCCTCTTTATTATTTACCACTCCCCTCAATTTTTGTATCATCTGCACACTTTATCAATGATGATGATGTTTTCTTCCAGGTAATTGATAAAAATGTTAAATAGTGTAGGCCAAGAACCAATCCATGCAGGACCGCACTGGAAACACACCTGCCAGATGGTGATTTTAAGAACAAGAAGTGTAATTCATAGAGTAGAAGGCCAGAAGGGACCACTGTGTTCATCTAGTCAGACTTCCTGTATAGCACAGACCAGAGAATTTACCTGAATTAATTCCTGTTTGAATTAGAAGGTATTTTTAGAAAACATCCAGTCTGGATTTAAAAATTGTCAGTGATGGAGGATCCATCACAACTCTCAGTAAATTATTCCAGTGGTTAATTATCCTCATTGTTGAAAAATTGCACCTTATTTCCAGTCTGAATTTATCTAGTTTCAATTTACAGCCATTGAATCATGTTATATCTTTGTCTGCCAGACCCAAGAGCCCATTTTCAAATATTTGTTCCCCACATAGGTATTTATAGCTTGTAATCAAGTCACCCTTTAATCTTCTCTTTGTTAAGCTAAATAGATTGAGCTCCTTGAGTTTATCACTATCAGGCAGGTTTTCTAATTGTTTAATCATTCTCATGGCTCTTCTCTGAACCCTCTCCAATTTATCAACATCCTCCTTGAATTGTGGGCACTAGAATTGGACACCTGTTCCAAATACAGAGGTAAAATAACCTCTTCTCCTACTTGAGACTCCTGTGTTTATATATCCATGTAATTAGGAATAAGAGTTACATCAGAGGGGCACACTAATCTCCAGAAGCTTCTGGTAGTTTGCCTCTTCTTTCCCAGAGCCCTGCTCACCTTTCCACACATCCAAGTGCTTCCCACTGAAGTCACAGAGAAACACTCATTTTCCTGTGAAGGAGTCAGGCACCAGAAAGTGAAGTGTGGAGTTGTGCTCCTCAAACTGGATGTTGTTGTTACTGTGTTATCCAGAGGATAACCAAGACTATGGGAGGGCTTAGAGTTCAGCTGGTCCTGGATGCACTCGAGACAGTCACCTGTCCGAATATGACACTGATTCTGACCAGCCCAGGAGACTGAAGAACCCAGATCTCTTCCTTCCTACATTCCTAGACTCTCTTCCCTACACCTACAGGTCACTGAGGTTAAGACATATACACTCCCATCCATGCCATCCCCACAGACCTTCTCCAGCGCATCCTTCAGGACTGGGATTGGGTGGTCCAGTGGTACAGGTTCTGGATAGCGGGGACACATCTGAATTGCTTCTGATCTCACCTCCATTGCAGATGGGCCTGGAAATAGTTCCAGAGAGGAGGCTGGTTGAGTGGATGGGTTTGCGGACATGTTTTACAGAGAGGATTACTCAGAATGCAGAAGTGCAGATGAGGCCACGAACCTTACAGAGCTTGCCATCCACAGCTGGGAAGAGGCCTCGTGTAAAGCAAAGGAGGGGGCTGACAGACCTACGACTCACACAGAATTTCAGCACATGACATGTTGTTGGTGCATTTTCAAATCTACCCCAGCAAGGTACCGAGTACATGAGGGAAATCCTTGACTGAGGGTGCTAGTGACAGCGGCTGGCAGAGCATCGTGGACACAGGGCTCAATCCTGGTCCTACTGAAGTTAGTAGGAATTTGCTGTTGAGTTCAGTGGGACCAGGTTGTGTCCCAAAGTAGGGCACTGTGACTCCATAGGGAGGGAAGGAAGCAGCAAACCGAAATAAGCTTTGCCAGTAAGTATTGTGAATACTGCCTGAAAGTGACCTGGATGCCTAAGGAAACAAACCAGCTCCAAAACGGAACACACTGGACACATGGGGTCACCCACAGAAAACAGCTGACCATCTGCCATGCCAGGGCGAAATCAGGGGCCCAATAATTTTCTCTCTCATTTTAAATTTTTGGTGCAGATGAAGAACACTCATTTCCCAATGAAAATGGGAATTCTCCTACCTGGGGCCAATATTTGCCCAGCTGATTCCAATGAGCTTCTGAAGCACAGCTCCCCAGCCCTGCACACTATAAAGAAAATGCCTGTGATTTCCCCTTCTTTTACCCCTTTGGGGTGGGTATGTGCCGTGTTATGGTGCTGTGTAGCAGAGGAGAAATGTCACTGCAGAACCTACAGGCTGCGAGCATCGTGGACCAATGACCATGATACCGCAGGCAGATTCTGGCCAGTGCAGCCCCATAAGAAGAAAGTGAGATCCAGACTCAGCGGTGAGTCCAAATGAGTTTAGAAGGAGTCTATGTTGGTGTAATACCTTCTTCTGACCTCTTCAAAGTGTCTCTCTGTAACTCCCTGGGCTCCCCTAGCCTTACATCCACTTACCAGTGTATGAATTACATCCTTGCACGTGCTGCCTCTGAATCTGTCCCACTCCGTTGCCAATAACCGAGTGTGAGGAATCTATGGGGTCTAAGCTGGCATGACCCATATGGCAAGGGGCCAGGAGAGAAGAGTAGCAGGTAACGCTGCTAGCAGGAGGAGGTACGCAGGTGTACATTAAAGTAGCTACCCACAGCTTTACATGCACATTCTGATCCCTCTTTAGGATGTAAATTACTCCAGCGTGGTTTTAGCAGGTATAAGGGAATCCAGCTAGGTGCAGGGGGGCTGATCATGCCCCACCTTACTCTGCTTCTGATTGTAGCACCTGACTTCCTGAGGCAACCCTTTCTTATCATCACTGGCAGGTTATCTTTGTTTTTCATTTGGAATCTCATTCACACCTGTTTGACCCTTCCATCTCATTGAACCCACTGGGCAAATAATTAGGTTGTGTGTAATGAAATACAGGCCCTGAGTGCACGGGGCCAGGGGGAAGGCTGTATCTGGGTCCAACCAACTAACTGTAGTGCTCAACCCTGCAGTTGATTCAGACAACCACCTCTTGATGTCAATGGCATTGGGCCTCTGGGTTCTGAGACCCACGGTGGGCAGGCTGATTGCTGGATACTCACCGGGCTCCTCCTTGGGGAGGCTGTACTGCCACAGGAAGCAGCCCATCATGGCCACAGACAGCAGGAAAAAGAAGATTAGTGCCACATGGATCCACTTCACTTCCATCATCGAGAGCCTAAGGAGACTCCTCCCTCTGGAGGCCTGCGGCAAAGAAGAGACATGGGGGTTTCAGTGGTACTGTTTATAGGACAGAGAGAGAGGAACTGCCTCCCGTGCTTATAAATTAGGTATGTACATGAACTACAGGTAAGGACGTGAGTTCCTGGTGCAATCACTGTAGCATTAATAGCTTAAAATGTGTCCAGCTGAAATGCCACAAAATTCTGTGACTAATCTATGCCACCATTGATGCAGCTGGTGCTGGAAGTTGCTTAAAAGCTGGTTTGGGTTTCAGTAGGCGAGCTCATGCTATTAAATCATGCCCTGTCGGGTACAGAATAATCACGGCTCATTCCCAGCATCCCCACCACACCTTCAGTCTGAGTCATGCCGTGTGCCATGTCGTTTGCATGCAAGATGTACACACACAAGAAGTTGCATTAAATTGTCCGCACTCTCACTTCTCTCTGATCAGGATAGACTGAGCCACTCCCTGGGGACTATACTACAGCCTGGTCTCCTCCCCAGGACTGGAATCTAGGCTGGCTGATTCAGGATTTCTCCCAAACCTATTGGTGCATGGGCCATTTCTCATGTAACAAGGGAACTAAGAAAGCCACGGTCAGACTTGCAGGTCCCTTTCTCACCCTCTGGCCCGTGTCACTGAGGATCCTGATGGGGAACCGAGACCCCATCAGCACTTAGCCCCTTTCCCCCCTCCAAAGCTCACGGCACTTTCTGAATGTGAACAGATGTTTGTTACAAATATTTTGTGAAACCTTTTGGTCTATTTCAAACATTTCCACAGCAGATTTTGAAGTTGCGTAGTACTCTGGGCTCCTCCATCCCTAAGTGGGACGGTAACAGCCCTTGTCCCTTCTCGCTGCCTCTGTCAGCCATGTGTCCTGACATCACCCATCCTGGTGCATGCTGGATGGACCAAAGAGCTGACAGCCAGAATACTTGCATTCTCCATGCTCCAACTGCCTGAGCAAGGACAGCTCTCACCTGCCAGGGGAACACCCATCAACATTAAGGAAAGCCGCATGTACCAGAAAAGTACCCCATTCTGGATCTGTTACAGACCCAGTTTCTCACAGGAACTGGGGGGGGACCAGCATGCACCAGGAAGGATGATGTCAGGTCATCTGTCTGATGGAGGCAGCAAGAAGGGGGGGGGGGAGATGAGGGTGAAGGGCAGGAAGGGGTGAGGAGGGAGAACGACATACAGAGGAAGGACAAACGCCGTTCAGTCCAGATGGCCTGGTCTGAAAGAACAAGAGAAGATGGTGATGGAAAGAGGATAAATAGATACGGGAGAAGGAGAAAAGAGAAGCCAGGGCCTAACTGAGAGACAGCGAAGCCCTGAGCTACACAGAAACATACTGTGCCCTAGCTGACAGGAGCACAGGCTCACATGGGTGGAGGGAATTGATCAGACCCTATGCTGCTATCAGCCAGGTCCATTGCTAGGGTCCCACTGCCCCCCGCAGGGCCGGCTCTAACTTTTTTGCCGCCCCAGGCAAAAAAGAAGAGCGCCGCCCTGCCGTACCCCCACCCCGCGAGCACTGCCGAAACCCCCACCCCCCCAGCACCATGCCACCTGAAGCCCCGCTCCCCTCCGAGCAGCGCCTGAAGCCCCGCCCCCTGAGCACCACACTGCCCAAAGCCCCGCCCCCAGCCCCGCCCGAAGCCCCCGCCCTCCCCCCCGCCGCCGGCAGCCCGCCCCCCCCCCGCACCACGCTGCCCGAAGCCCTGCCCCCCCAAGCACCACGCTGCCCGAAGCCCCCACCCCCCTCCAAGCCCCACGCCGCCCGAAGCCCAGTGCCGCCCGAAGCCCCCACTCCCCCAAGCACCATGCCGCCCGAAGCCCGTGCCCCCCCCTCCGAGCGCCACGCCGCCGAATCCAAAAAAATAAAAATAAAAAATAAAAAAAAAATCGAGTGCCGCCCTGCCCCAAGGTGCCGCCCCAATCACGTGCTTGGTCGGCTGGTGCCTGGAGCCGGCCCTGCCCCCCCCCGCAATCCTGAGTGACAAAGCTCACTCTTACCCGTCTGTTAGTCCATGCTGGAGAGCTGCTCCTCAGAGCTGCAAAGAGATGCCATGTTCCTGCTGCAGGAGCTGAGAGTGCAGACCAGGGCCCTCACTTTTCATTTTTAGCTCCCCCATGGTACAGCTGCCTTTTCACAGATGCACTCCTGCCCAGCCTGTCTCCTCCTGGCTTCTTCCCCCACCCCACTGCTGCCGGTGACTCCCAGGGCCCTGACGTCAGAGTGAAATGGGATTTTCTTGGTTTAATCTTTGGAGGAGGAGGTAATCCCCAATCTGCTCACTTCATGCACTTCGGACTTTCCCAGCCCACTAGACATTGATCTAAAAGTGATGGGCGCCCAAACCCTTCTCACCTGACTCCACCTTTGTCCACCTCCCCTGGCAGGCAAGAGCCCTGCATCCCCAGTCCCATCTCTTCACCCACCAGTCCCACTGCAGCACCAGCGACTATGTCCTGCTTTCCAAACCCAGAGACAAACGGCCCTTACATCACAACATGAATGGGACACCTCTCGCCATCGACTGGGATGCTGAGCACTTAAATCGGACTGACTGCACAGAACTATTCATTCTCCATGGGATTTACAGAAAATGAATTACCCACAAATAACTCCCAACCCAGTCTGTGGGGAAACACACCCTTCTACCCATCTCTTCTTATTCAGCAACAGAGAAAGAGAGAGAGAAGGAAAGCCCTGGCTGGGATGATTTAGTTGGGAATTGGTCCTGCTTTGAGCAGGGGGTTGGACTAGATGACCTCCTGAAGTCCCTTCCAACCCTGATATTCTATGAAAAAGAGAGATTCCATACAATTCCGGAATCAAGCGGGAGAGGAGACCCCCCTGGTGCTCAGTACACTTTCAGTCTCACTGTGGTGTGTGTGTCTCTCTCTCTCTCTCTCTCTCTCTCTCTCTCTCTCACACACACACACACACACACACACAGTGTCAGGGAGAGACAAACCCCAAGGTGATTTGATCCATCTCCCATTTTCTCTGAGCCCCCAAAGTTTGGGGAGAGGTTCAGATAAGTTGCCCTCTATTAAACGCCTCTCTTCCACCACGCAGTGTAATATTTCCCTGTGTCCCCCTCAGTGAATTAACACTCACACTTGTGTGTGTCACTTAGCTGGTGACAGACCTTATCACGAGTTATTAAGGTCCAACCGGATTCACAGCCCCCGTCGGTACCATCCTCAGATGATGTCTCAGTCACACAGGCCACTGCCAGGAAGCACAAAATGTGCTGGATGTAGCTGATCTTAAGTGTGGCAACAGCAGAGCAGAGATCTGCCAGCCACCCTGTGTCGCCATGCTCCAAGCTGCAACCTCCCGTCCCAGGGAGGAGCTGCTTGGCCTCTCTGGCAGTGTCTGGAGTGAGCTTTGCTCTCTAGCTGACTCTTCCTTTGTCTCGGTGTTTCTCTGTCCATTTAACCCAACCAGAGCTTCCAGAAAGTGTAATTCCCCCCCTCCCCCTCCACCCTGCAAGAAGATTAAAGCTACAGGGCCAGAGTGGAATTTGCTTTTCACTCTCTCAGGGTTGAAAGTGCCTGTGAGATTGAATATTAATTCTGTCTAATGCTTATCTGCCATGTGTGTGAATTGGGGCTGAAACCAGCTGGGCTTTGCAAACTATTTATAGTATCTTCATCTCCTCTTGGCATCTGCGCGGGGAGGCGATTAACCCTTGTGATGGACAGCATCTCCATGCCTGTGGCACGTAGCTCACTCACACAGCCCCAGTGCATTTACAAGACACAGGAGGAGCAAGCCCAGATGAGCAGAGACAGGGGACACAGGGGGTAGATCCTGCTCTCACGCCCACCAGAGCTAGTGAGGAATAACCCCATTCGAGTCAATGTAGTTGTAGTGCTGTAAGCAGGAGAATCAGGCCCAGCCCTTTGTTGGTGAGCTACAGACTTTATTTGGGTACAACAATGTCAGACTATTTCCTCTCCATTGGCCTGGGATCTGGTGCTGACAATCAGCAGCCAAGGGAATGGGAGCAGTGAAGAGGCTGTGGATGTTGGGAAGGTTCAGCCTTACCCGTATCTGTAACCCTTCCATGGCTGATTACGAGTCGCTTCTCATCACCAGCGCTGGTGGGCTTTCGCAAGTCCAGGGCTGGAAAATCCTATGAGCAGGGAACAAAGCGTTAGAACAGGGGAAAAAAGAGGGATCGCAGGGCGAGTCTGAGCAAGGGGAAGAGAGAACCCAGATGCCGGAGTATGGAAAATAAGGGCAGGGCTGTCTATTAGGCAGGAGAGCCCAGCGCTAGGGGATGAAGCAGGAAAGAGGGGATTGCTCCAGAAAATAAGCTGGACCCTAGGGCCAGAGCTCAGAGATTGCGACATCAGGTGGCATCTTCACACCGTCTGCTTCTCTCTGGTTTTGCGTGATACCAGCCCACCCCCTAAGCAGTGGCTCTCAACCTTTCCAGACTACTGTACCCTTTTCAGGAGTCTGATTTGTCTTGCGTCCCCCCAAGTTACACCTCACTTAAGAGCTACTTGCTTACAAAAATCAGACAAAAGTGTCACAGCACACTAGGACTGAAAAATTGCTTCCTTTCTCATTTTTACCATATAATTATAAAATAAATTGAATGTAAAATGAATTGAAATATAAATATTGTATTTACAATTCAGTGTCTAGTATATAAACAAGTCATTGTCTGTATGAAATTTTAGTTTGCACTGACTTCTCTAGAGCTTTTTATGTAGCCTGTTGTAAAACTAGATAAATATTTAGATGAGTTGATGTCCCCCTGGAAGACCTCTGTGTACCCTCAAGGGTACATGTACCCCTGGTTGAGAACCACTGACCTAAGGGAACTAGCTAGCAATACAGAGTCCTTTTCAAATTGCCCAGGCCCCTTTCCCTCCTGCTGCCAGGACCCTGCCCGCAAAGTCCCTTGGCTGGCGGCAGCTCCCTCTCCCTTCCCCCCACAGCTCCCCCAGAGAATTAGAGCACAGAGTTCTTCAA